ATGATGATGTCATGCTGCTGGACACGGGAATGGAGGTGTTTGTTTGGGTCGGGCCGACGGCGAGTCAGATCGAGGCAAAACTCGCCATCAAGAGCGCACAGGTAAACAACGCCTGTACTTTACTTGTACTTTACCTGTACTCTACCTGTAGTTAATCAGTCCTGTAGTTCACCTGTAGTTTACTTGTAGTTCACCAGGTCCTGTACTTACCTGTACCGTACCTGTTTGTTCCAGGTGTACATCCAGCACCTGCGTTCGAAGGGGATCCAGCGGAAGCTGCACAGTTACCTGTAGTTCACCTGTAGCTTACCTGACAGGTGTGTTGTGTGTGTTCCAGGTGTACATCCAGCACCTGCGTTCGAAGGGGATCCAGCGGAAGCTGCACAGTTACCTGTAGTTTACCTGTAGCTTACCTGACAGGTGTGTTGTGTGTGTTCCAGGTGTACATCCAGCACCTGCGTTCGAAGGGGATCCAGCGGAAGCTGCGTCTGACGGTGAAGAACAAGGAGCCGTACAAGTTCACCTGCTGCTTCCACGGCTGGGGCAGGCATCGCCAGCAGGCCAAGCAGTTCAAGGGGCTCGGATGGGTCTTCTGAGACGTCTTCAAGACTTCTAAGAAGTCTTCAAGTCTTCTGAGATGTCTTCAAGGGCTCGGCTTGGTCTTCAGAGGCGTCAGTAAATCTTTTGAGACGTCTTCAAGTCTTCTGAGACGTCTTGAAGGGTCTGGCCTGGGTCTTTGGAGACATCTTTAAGTTGACTTTTTAAAGTTAGCAATAAGCTTTTTCTGAGACTTCTTCCAAACCTACAAAGGGTTTTATGTTGTCTTCTGAGACTCCAAAATGAAGGCACAATTCTGTCGGAAGACCAGAAAGACGTGCTGAAATCACTTACAAATTTTCTTTGTACATGTAAGAACTATGTCATATATAAACATATCTAAAGTCACAATAATGTAAGATAAGCGTATCCAAAATGCACCCAACATATGTAACAACTGCACTCTTCAACCCTCCCAGAGTTTGTGCTGGTTAGAAGTTCTTGGAAAATTTAAGCTGTTTAAAATTGAGTGGAGAATCAGTAGTACAGCACTGCTATAACAGTGTTGGATGTGAGTTCTTCTGTTCTTCATAAAGCTATGAGAACAACTCGCTGCCCTACATACATGTGTGTTTTACACAGAAATCAGACTCTCTGCAGTCATGGCTGTCGCTTTTTTTAATGATATAAAGTGCTGATTTTTGTAGTCACCTTGTGCAATTCACAACTTATACTAGTTAGTAAGGCTCCACTATTGTAGATGTGCCTTCACAAATTATGCATAGGCGGGCAAACTGGACCCTCTATGGCTGGCCAACTCCCCTGGCCAGCTACAATCTTTTTAGGCCGATTTCTACTACATGTACATTATTTATTCAGCCTGCAAAGGAGTCTGGTGGAGACTATGGAGTTAGCACAGAGAGAAAACCTGTCAGTAATAAAGCAATAACAGTGCAGGGCGGTGCCTTTGGAGATTCACTGGCGGTCTGTAGACAGCGAGGCGTTAGTGTTATAAACATGCAGTCACACCTGCATTTATAATGATAATAGTGACCACTGTAGGGACTTAACTGCATGCCAATAGGGCCTACATGGGGGGTTCTTATGCAAAATTTTCGCCGCTGATTAAGAATTACGTTAAATTCTAAGAGCTGATTATGAACAATTTTGCATTATGGCTAATGTACTGATAACAAATTACGATGATTTTTGGGGACTTCCTGGGGATTACGAGGACTAAAAAGGCCTGATCTGATAATGGCTTACGAAATTGGGCATGCAGGCCCTCCTCTCTGTACCACACCAAAAGTTAGGTGTTTGGTGGTTCACTGTGTTAGTATAGATAGCAGAATTATTTATTATGTAGTGCTGTCGCAACTGTCAGTGTTGTGTTTGTTCCATGTACAAAGTTCAGTCTGACATTAAAAAGATGTTTTTAAGAAATATCACAGCTGGTTTTATTGTCTGTGTTCTGCGTTTTGTGTGTTTAATATCTAAAGCATGATTTTTCTATGGTAGAAGATGGCATTCTGTACACAATACAAGGGCAGGGAAGATATAAACCACCCAGTACTGTCCATTTTCGTGCCCTTGCTATTCTGTAGTTCCAATATCTCTCGCTCGGTGGCGCTGCTGCACTGCCCTCTAGTGCAGTAGAGCGAAAACATCCAAGATGGCGACGTTGGTGGCGAACCTGGCTCGGGCCCGCGTCCTTCTGGCCAGAAACATAGCGGAGAGAGGCCTTCCCTCGGCCCGCCAGGCCGTTCCCGTGCGCACCAAGATCACCAACTCCGCCGGGGCTATGCTGCCGGAGCCCTACAACATCCGATTCGGGCTGGCCAAGGTAGGAAAATATCGGCCTACACCAGGCCTATCTTCGGGGGTCCAAAAACAGGGACATACGTTATACACGTTAGTTGGAGAGTCAGTCCATGAGAGGGTTATTTCCCCCCTCTGAAGCGGAAAAACGAACTCTACAGTGGCTAAACTCCCCTAGTCCATTACAATTTCTCTATTGGCTAAATCTCCTTTTTTAAACCCGCGTTGTTGTGTAGACTACTAGGAAAATATATGCCGCCCGTCCGGGTTAGGGGCGGGGTTACTAGTACCATGGACAGGACACGCACTGGAGATCGGGCTTGTTCCCAAAATATTTCCCAAAAAAATCGCATCTAAGACCTCACAACAGATCTATACTGGACCTGCTCTTTGTGACCTTCGACCAGGAGTTAGTTCAGTCTTAGATACGGAAATTCCTCTTACATTGCCATATCTACATATTCATGAATATATTTTCATGTGCTAGGTCGGCCATTTTGAAAATATTTGAGTTGATTACATCGAGCCAATTTATTTTCTCTGGGAATCGATCGTTCCAGAAGCTGGTTCTGTCGATGAGCTCGCTCGCACCGGAGGAGAAACCAATTTATTACCGAAATCCGTCAGAAGAGACAGCACATTCTGGAAAAAAACAACATCCCAAATTCCAAAATCTTAAAACAGCTGCATCCAACACTATTTACTCAGTAGAATTACTGGTTTGCGTGTATTACTTTGCAGTGAAAGGCGAATCATGATATTTCTATTATGATAGTGCCAGGACCACCCAGTGACTGATGACATAAAGTGAGAATTAAAAAAAGGATGCAATGAAACTTTTAGATCATCAGATATGTGCCGCTGTGCTGTGCCTGCGTACTATACCAGGGTACTTTACCAGGATAACATGTACAGCTGTGCTGTACCTAGGTTTTAACATGTACTGCTGTTATACAGGTTCTCCTTGTCTCCACCTTCCTGTACCTCGGAGCGTGGATCAGTAAGGAAGGAGCCGAGTTTCTGGAGGAAAATGACATTTTTGTGCCAGACGATGACGATGACGACTGAAGACAGCTTGTTTCCAAGGTAACGGCGTTGTCAGTCAGCTGACTCAGCGTGACCAATCACGTGTTTCCATGTGTGTTTGTTGCAGGTTGTCGCGGTGATGGTTCCGTTTATCTACGTGGGCGCAACCATCAGCCGCGAGGGAGCCGCTTTTCTCGAGGAAAACGACATCTTCGTTCCGGATGATGATGATGATGACTAAGCCCGGCACCGTGGGCCAGGTATCGGTTCGCTTCGACTAACGCTCGGTTCTCTCGCTGACCTCTGACCTGTTCTCCTACTGCTAGGTCACGACCTGCGCTTGACACAATCCTGACCTTCCCTGGAAACCTGCAAGAAACTTTAACCCTACAAGAGTCAGGTGTAGGGAAAACCAGTTTCTCCAAAGCTTGCCCAGGGGGTTTGAAAACCAGTTAGACTAACCAGTTACTGAACGATGCCTTGTTTTTTTAGCAGTTTCCTGGTTATACATAACCTTACAGGTCAGCTGAATGTTTTGCCTGCAGGAGGGTTTGCCATGTTTCTGTGCATATCAGTTTGTTCTGTCTTGGTTCTGAGCAGTTTCGCATCTCACCACTACTTGTTCTTCTTACCTGTGCTGGGATTGAGGCTTGACACTCTAAATCCAGAAACACCTTGGAAAAATGTTGTGTTTCCTGCTTCCCGACTGACCCTAGCTTTTTTTTCTTGTCCTGCAAGGGACATAAATTTTTCAAGCTGATCAACCTTTTGGAGCTCCATGATCTGACACTTAAAGGGTGAAATGTTGTTTTTGGTAAAACAGAAACTAGAAGGATAAATCCCTACCTATAGAGTCCTTAATTTTTTCTTGACTGAAACAGGAAACACAACATTTTGTCCCAGGCCTAATGTAGACAATTATGCTTGTTTAAGGCATTGTCTCAATGAATCCTCCAGATAGAAAATGTGTCGCTGCACGAATCGATGAAGGTCAGTCTCAGCAGTGTTTTGTTGACATGTTTGTGTTTATTTGTTTATGTAAAACATGTTTATTTTTCCCTTCCTAAGGTAGAAGAACCACAAGGGCTTTCAGTTCCACCATCATCAGTTGCCATGGAAACTGCTGCATCCACCAATCACCTGGCTGCTTCCTGTTGTCATGCCAACTGCTGCACTGAAGCGAATCTGCCGTGACTAAATATGACGCTACTTGTACAATACTCCTGCAAGCAATAGTATTTAATAACAATCAGAACTACATTTGTATATGGACTCTGCATGTTTGCTATGTTATAAGATTTATTGAAAAGGCAAAAGAGTAACACCTTGTATCTATTAGCGAAGTAGAACTGTATGTAGAATAGATTTTAACACACTGTTGTGTGATGTTTTAATAACTGTTTTTAGATTTTTTAGAGGTGATGTTACTAAAGTTTGTCACACCTTGGGCCCCCGTAAGTTTGTTGGTTGGTTCCCAGACTGTCAAGACAGAAATGGAGACATGACAAAGTTTGAAAAATGAACCAAGCAGCAAACTTATCTGTTCTTTAAATACACAGAACGATTCCCCCTTAGTATCCACAAATCCCAATACCCCCCCAACCCCAACCCCAATATCGATATCCTGAATACCCCCCGGACTACCCCCTCCCCAACTACAACCCACACCCCCCTCCCCCTCCACCAGAGCTTGTGTACTATAGCAGACTCCTCTCCTCGGTACTGAGATATTGAGTTAAGAACTGATGTAACTATAGGGATAATCCAAGCTCGGAGAATACGGGTGCTGACTGCATGCCTGTTGTGTTATACATTAGACTGTAGCTGTGATGTGATGTGTTTACTGTAGAGGAGAAACACTGGGCAGGACTGAGCTGTTTTCTACTGGGCAGGACTGAGCTGTTTTCTAGATTCATTTCTGACAACATTTTGGATGTGATGAAGGCCAGGCAGTGTTTGCAAAAAAAATGTACTTTTGGCACACAGTAGAAATGATGGCACAACAATAGACTGTGAAACTGAAAGGGATACTCTAGAAGTAATAAGGCAGCAAGAGGTAAATATTTAGAGAGACAAGTTGACTCTGAACTGAACCATGCACAAACCGGCACCAAGAGATAATAACACAACAAGCGACTGTAAAACGACACTGCAGAAATGATAGCACAACAACTGTTCATGGCACACCCAAGTTTCAGGGGTTCTGATCTGGCCCAGTGGCCCCACAGTACAACAGGGACAGGACAGATGGCTGTCCAGTGTTTGCCAATGTCATGTTACATGTATATCCACACAGAAGGCAACAGCTGACTATAGACTGTACTAAGCTGCGGTGGTGTGAATAAAACTTCTCTGGTTTGTCCACACAAGTTTAGCCCTGAGTAGTTTGCAGTGTTTTCTCAAGTGTGTGAATGTTGATGAGAGTCATTCTGTTATTTTATTTTCATAGGCGAACGAGTAGTACCGGTAACACTGCAAAGCATTTTAGATGATTTGTACAGCCCCTTGCGTGTCAAACGTTTCCATACACTTTACTGCAGCAATCACTTAGTCCGCAAGGTGTCGCCACTACTATGTTGAGTTGTCCGGTCTATTGTGACCTTTGACCTAATGGCGCGCAGTTCGAAATCAAAATGGCGACAGAGACGAGGCGAGCCAAACGACCTTGCTGTTCCTTTTCTTCAGGATACTATGTCATTGAAGAACAGCCTAGCAGGCAGATTCCACGCAGCTGAGGCTGCATGGGTTCTTATAACATGTTAGTTAAGTATTCACTTCCTGTGCTGAACTGACCACTAGCCTCCTGTTCCGGCCTCCGGGCGGGTGAGGGTTTTCATACTGCGTTTTGTGACCTTGTGTAGAATTTTGATTGAAGCGTTCTTTTGCCGGCCATGCTAGAACCAGCCACCCAGAGAAGGTTTGTACCCGCCACGACTGGGAAGAGTAGAAATTGGCACCCGGGTGCGGCAAATGTACTCTCTAGCGGACCAACACCCCCGACGTCATCGTTCCGCATGTTATCTCTATTTTTTATGGCCTACTTTCCAGCCGCTTATTATTCTCCGACGAACAATAATGAGTGGTGAGAAGGAACTTGGCCTAAAATCACTCGAGGAAAATTATGACAGTGGCGGCACAAAACCGCAGCATTTGGAGGGAGAAATTTCGCCGCCAAGTCAGCGTCCTGGGCAACCCAGTTGCGGTGTTGAGCCAAATCCTTGAGCTGCCATACATGAGAGCAAGGCGGTTACTAGTAAATACAAGGTGAGAGGTCAGGTGTTTAGGGTTATGGTTATGGTTGGTATTAATGTTAGGGTTATAGTCGGGATTGTAAATACATTTATGATTTTCTGTCATCATTGTTCTTTCACTTTAATTGTATGATTGTTCCATTGAATTTTATTCCACTTGTATTATTTATGACCCACCGTTGTATGCTGTTCAGCTGTATGGGCTTCCTTATATATCACTGAAATGACTACCCATTGTGATAAACGAATAGATTTTCAAGTTTATTCATTTTACCATGGCATATCTGTGGATATCCATGGGCGCACACATTTAAAGATACGGTTATGGAATTTACAACACATAATAATATACGATTAATGTTACATGTACAGACTTATATCAAAGTGGTCACAGTATATGAACTTAGTCCAATCAGTTTCAGTTTTCAGATAAATGAATAAGACACGGAAAGTTGTGTTGATTTTCCACAGCAAATCCTGATACCCATTTCACCCCCTAGTTTCCTTACTCAGCGCATCACCACTATACATAAATACCGCCCTATCCACAAACTAACTCCCCACACACACGTTAAACGCCAACCCAAATCAAAATGAATAAAATGTCTGACCTAGACCCTCACCCCAGTAAACCGGACAACCCTTCCGTAATTCCCGTACAGGCCATCACTTATTTGCCGTACAGGCCATCACCAATTCCCGTACAGGCCATCACCAATTCCCGGACAGGCCATCCCTAATTCCCGTACAGGCCATCCCTAATTCCCGTACAGGCCATCCCTAATTCCCGTACAGGCCATCCCTAATTCCCGTACAGGCCATCACTAATTCCCGTACAGCCCATCCCTAATTCCCGGACAGGCCATCACCAATTCCCGGACAGGCCATCCCTAATTTCCGTACAGGCCATCCCTAATTCCCGTACAGGCCATCACCAATTCCCGGACAGCCCATCCCTAATTCCCGTACAGGCCATCCCTAATTCCCGTACAGCCCATCCCTAATTCCCGTACAGCCCATCCCTAATTCCCGGACAGCCCATCCCTAATTCCCGTACAAGCTTCCCTAATTCCCGGACAGCCCATCCCTAATTCCCGTACAGCCCATCCCTAATTCCCGGACAGCCCATCCCTAATTCCCGGACAGCCCATCACTAATTCCCGGACAGCCCTTCTTTTTGCCCGGACTATCATCATTATTCCTGACGAGTCCCCGGCGGCCGAACATAACCAGCCGACCTCCCCTCGTTGAAAGAAATAGAATGACCCTACTTTTATTCCAGGAACGACCATTATGTGTAAATATAGTTATTTACAATTAGCGGTTCGATAAAAACCACGCGTCTGCTTCCATGTTTAAAATGCACCGCCCCTCGCTAATTCCAGGAGCAGCCATTAGGTGCAAATGTAGTAATTTATATGCAGAAGCCCTGCGAAAATTACCCTTCCCCCCACATCCACGTCAACCGCGGGCTGTCCCTGGCTAATTCTAGCCTCCATAGCATGCCAAAAACTGGGGGGGTTGGGCGTTTTCAGGGTTTTGGGGAACTTTTATGTGTTATTTGCTGATTGCATATAGACAACATAGCCGGCCTGGTTGAATTACCCCCGTTTTTAGAACAGGGCTAATCAGAAAACAGCCACCGAAGACCACCAAACCCCCAGTTCTATAAGCCTGCTACGGCGGCTAGGCTAATTCCCGGAAGAGCCATTCTGGCGGCGCCGGCTGCCGTCGTTAAAGTTTACGGTTCCCGCGCAAAGCCCCGGCCCGGGCGGCAGGAGCTAGCCTCTACCAGGCTTCGGGAGGAGGATGAAAAGAGTAGAAAACGGCCAAATAGAGAGAGATAGCAAGCCAAGGGAGTTAATATGCTGGTGAGAACACTTTCGGGAGCGGCAAACTGTATTTTCCAGCGGACCTGAACTGCCTCTGCATGTTATCCCTCACTATTTGGCCGGCGATTTCTACTCTTGCCAGCCGCCTGCCAAAGCCTGGTAGAGGCTAGGCAGGAGCGTCCCCGGGCCCCTGTCATCATCACCGCGGGTCAGGTTACACACATCAAACACCGGCCGACATGCGGCGTGATGGCGCGTGCACGCCACTAGTTGACCGTGACACCCCCAATATATTTCCACAATTCCTACGACTTTATTATTGATGTCAGGCAAAACGGATCGATAGCTCGGAGAGAATGCACGCCCGGCTGGAGTCCTACCTGAGCGACTCGCCGAGAATTTTATTGCCGGGACGGCGGGGAGCTGCCAGGAGGGAGAGCTCAATCACAAGTTTCCAGGGAGCTAGGAACGTGGTAGCCTCTACCAGGCTTCGGGAGGCGGCTGGGAAAAGTAGAAATCGGCCAAATAGAGAGATAACATGCCGGGGGAGTTTGGTCGGCTGGAGAGAACACTTGTTTGCCACTTCCGTACTCTCTAGCGGACCAACTCCCCTTGCATGCTATCTCTCTATTTGGCACCGCACACGTGATGTTCTGCACCGCACACGTGATCTTCTGCACCGCGCACGTGATGTTCTGCACCGCACACGTGATGTTCTGCACCGCACACGTGATCTTCTGCACCGCGCACGTGATGTTCTGCACCGCGCACGTGATCTTCTGCACCGCACACGTGATCTTCTGCACCGCGCACGTGATCTCCTGCACCGCATACGTGATGTTCTGCACCGCACACGTGATCTTCTGCACCGCACACGTGATCTTTTGCACTTTTGCATGGTGCTTTGCAGTGTAAAACAACACACAAGTAAAGCGGTTCTTGAACTTAGCCTCTACCAGCCTTACGCGGCAAAATGTGCACTGTAGCGGACCAATTTCCCCGGCATGGTATCTCTCTATCTGGCCAATTTCTACTCTTTCAAGCCGCCTCCCGAAGCCTTGTAGAGGCTATCTTGAACGTTCCCGACTTTTGGATAATGTATCGCGCGCTACGTTTCAGTTTCAGTTTATTTATTTCACCAGCAACTACACTCAGGTTGTCAGCCACACACCTCTTTTTCTTTGTCGCCAAGGACAACCGTTCCCTTGGTTACCACAGCCCACCGAGCGCGGTCCTGATTGGCTAATGATCACTTTATGGCCCTGCTCCCCAGTGAGGCGCACATGACGCTGGCAGGTACTGAGTGTACTCGCGGCTGCGAGCTGAGATAGAGCTGCTGTATGTGTGTGTCGGAGTGGAGCAGGCGAAAGATCACGCTCTCGGAGCGCAGCAATCGTTCACGGGCGCGGGTTGGTGATGTTTTAATGGATTTTTGATCAGGCGGCTCAGCTAGCTCCCGCGGAGTGACGTGCGCGGGGCGGGGAATGACTTCCGCGCGGCGGACGGGAAACAGCCGCTGGTAACGCGGGGAAAAACATCGCGCAAACTACCCACGGCTGCAGGCGCGCACAGCCAGGACTAACACAAGTCCCTCATCTCCGTCAAGTCAGCAAAAACTCCGTCCTTCCTCGCGGATCGGACCACTCGGAGACGCTGCGGAGCGGCTTGTTTTGCGGGAAACGTTTCCGATAAACGCCTGGATTATTCTGCAGGAGGCCGCTGTTGGAATGTGAAAGTAGCGGAGCGGTGAGGGAGGTAGGCGGTTCTCCTGTTTCCGTGTTGGTGCAGGTTGTGGGGTGGGGAGAGAATGATGTGTGTGTGTGTTATTTGTCCGTGTGTGTTAGGAGGGGGAGGGGCACACGTCTTGTACTATAAGCACACGCCTTATAGTATACGTTATAGCACTTTTATGGCACTTTGCCTTTTTTTATTCTTGAATTTTATTCTTGTGGGGAAGGCGATTTTCTTTTTCAAAAAAAGTGTGCATATAAAACTCGAGCGCAATGCAGTCCGTATCCTATATCTTGTTTGGGATTAAGACGGCAAGGACGTCCGAAGTGTATGTATATAAATAGTAACAGAGGCGAGCAATTTACATTTTAACATGTAATACACGACTCTATCATATGCCTGCTGGCATGGTCGACCTGTAGCATAGCGCAAGACTTACAGTGACTCTACTGAACATGCGCCATCTGTGTACTCTCCAAGCAGAGGTTTCGGTTTGGGGTTTATTTTTAGCGTGTTTTTAGGAATTTTTTATCGGGGTTTCTCTTTTGCACTGCATTTTT